TGGTTGCTTATAACCAGTTGCCCTGCTCTGAGGTCAGCCTAAGCTGGATTTATCCCCTGCCTGGGCTGTGGAGCAGCTTGTGGGTGTGAGAGTGTGTGGAAGCACCTTTGCCAGGACTCAGCGAAATGTGGGGCTGGCGCTGAAGGCCATGCTTGGAGTCCCAGACCAGTCTGAACACTCAGGAGAGAACTCTGTTCACATGTTTCAACATCTTTGAGAGCTAATTGTGGACTTAAACTATTAATGCAGAAGACAGTTGGGTTTGCAGTTCTAATTGTTTCTACTGACTTGTTGGTCTTGTGTCCCCACAGTGCAGGCCACATCCTTAGCTCTGGTATGTCCCCAGAACTTCAATATCTGAGCTAACAGGTGAGGCTTCTGGACTGAGTTGTCTCAGAAGGCTTTTGAATAATGGGACAAGCCCACCTGATTGAGAGGCATGCAGGTGTGAGTGCAGTGTGCCTGGCAGTGGCAGCAAGCAGAGAATCCGTAATTGAGTGACCCCTTTCTGAGTTCCCTCTGTTGTAGCATGATGTTGTTAGATGGTATAGACTTGGTTGTGACTCACAGAGTCACAGAGACCTCCAGTCACCAGTCCAGAGCTTACCCTACTTTACCTCTATGTCTCAGTCAGCTAAACTGAGCTCCTTTTCATCAGGGAGCTATGTCTTATTTGCAGAACTCATTAGTCTATTTGAACTTTGAGAAGTTAGGTAAGAAAGGCTAGCTGTGGAGAGTGGGGTGTCATCAGAATAGTGTTTTTTAGGCTTGGCGGTGTGAGTGTCTTTATTAGACTTAGTGTGGGAGAGAAAAGAGGAGGTGGAAGAGAGTGCTTGCTGGAGGAAGGCATCACAACACGGTGGTAACTGTAGAAAAGAAGGAAGAGAAGTGTTATCTTCCCCACTCACCAGGAATCCCTACTCCCCTTGTTGTATTCCTACCCTGTTTTCTACATGGTATCTCTTGGCCTCTGTATTGTTGTGTAACAAATTACGTAGCAGCTTAAAATGACACACATTAATTATCTGTCACACAGTGTCTGCGGGTCAGGCATGCCTTTGCCTCAGCTTGTTCTCTCTTAAGGCTACATCCAAGGCTGCAGTCAGCTCAAGGCTTGACTGGCGGAGGATCTACTTCCAAACTCATTCGGTCATTGTTTGCAGGTTCTTCTCAAACTGTTGGTAGTGAATGAAGGCTCACTGTCCTGTTTTGTGAGTTCTTCCAGAGCAACTCACAGTATGGTGGCTGACTTCAGAGTGGTGGCTTGGAAAGAGGGGAACAGAAAGCACTAGTGTTTTGTAACTGAGTCTCAGAAGTGACACCTCATCACCTTTATCTTCTTAGAACAAGTCACCAGATCCAGCCCACTCTCAAAGGGATGGGATTACACAAGGTCCTGAAACCCCAGGAGATGGAGCGATTGAGGCCATGTTAAAAGGCTGCCTACTACAGCCTCCTTCTAGTGAGGAGTCTTTCATCTGTGCATAGTACACCTGGACTCTGGTAGCTCTGTGTTTCCACTGTCACCCACTTAGGATACTACGTGTTGTGGTCTGTGTCCATGTTTGTTTCTAACTCAAATATCAAGTACAGGTTGTGATAGGGTCAGCAAAGTGAGTGTTTGGGCCCCACCACCATGCCCATTACCATTTGAGTGCTTGCCTGCCAACTACCAGCATCTGCATGTCATGTGTCAGAGCATCTCTCTGGTGCAGGAGGTGTGAAGTACTAGACAAGTCATGCCCCTAGGAGCGGCTCCCTAGTCCTTGAGATACAACAGCTCAGCTCCTTCTAGCTATTCACAGAGGTCATCTGCCCAGTACCACACTCTGTTCCCATTTTCCTGCTCAAGTTCTTACTCCCCTTTTCTGCACCTCTTGTATAAACTGCTGCTCTCAGGGTTTGCTTCTGGGGGAAACTAAAGTAAGACGGTAAATGACAAGGATTAGGTTAATGCCTGTGTTCTCCAAAATGTATTGTAACTCCTAATCCCTATACCTGTGGTTACAATTCCATTTGAGAATGGGTTCTATTTTTTATCTTCATGTGGCTATATTGGTGTAGGGTGTGTTTTGAGATCTGAGATATAATAGATCAGTTTAAGCAGGCAGAGATGGGGGAAGGTAAACCCCAACCCATGAGAAAGTCACCAGTGAACAAAAGCTGAAAAGATACAAGGACCTTCTCCTAGAGCCAGCACCCTGAATTCAGGCTCCTATCTGGCTGAATTATGAGAATATAAATCTCACTTTGTTAAAGCCATCTCCTTATGGTACATTTGTTATGACTAAGCTAGATCGCTGAGGCAGCTGTGGAATAAGCCATCAGAGACTTCTGATAACCAGAAGAGGGAGGATGAGGGGCTTAGATGTTGGTTTAAGAGTTGGACTATGATCACATTTAGTAAGAGATAAGATTTTTAAAGAGTTGAGAGATGCAAAACAGCTGCTTGACGAGTTCCCATGGATGTCAGTGGGTATGAGGTGGAGGCCAGCAGGAAGGGTCCAGCCAAGGCTGGCCAGCATGCTGCAGTGGACTGATATCTACATGATTTGTGATTTTTTCCGGTCAGGTTTGCCAGCTGAAGAGTGAAAGCATGTGAGTGGTGAATTTTACCCAGGATTAGGCATATATGACGGGACTTCAGAAAGTTTGTGGAAATATTCCATTGTCTTTTGATTCCCTTTTCCACAAACTTTTTGAAGGCCTCCCCACCTGCCCACCCCCTTCTCCATATGTAAAGGGGCTAGGGATTCCTATGAAATCTGATGAAAGTGATGGATGCTGTCCACTAGAAAATGATGAGGCCTATGATTCTAAGCAAAAGTGTATAATCACCAGGTTGAGAGTTCCAGTTCTGAAGTGCGCTCATCAGTAGTCGGTTAGAATGATGGCTCAGATGATCCCAGTGGGGGTGAAGGTACCTGGGTTGGAAGGAGGCTAGAGATGGATGGAGCGCCTAGAAGTCCAGTTGACTTCAGTAGTATTGGTTTAGGGGGCCTATGGGTTGAGGTGAAACATCCAGGTGTATGTGCAATCACAACTCTGCCCCTAATGGGAGTGAACTAGGGTAGGAGGCACCTCGGTTGCCCTTTGTGAACTGTGCCTGGGTCATATGCTGTGTCCTTCACAGGGTTTAAAGATGACTCCTCCTGGACACAGCTGTCTGTCTCTGCACAGACCCTCCCTTCCACTCAGGCCTGTGCCATCCATGTGGTTGAGCTGCTGTTCAGGTCAGAGCCTGTGGCATCCAGCTCCATACAGGTAACTTCTGTGACTCCTGGCAGCTTCAGGTACCTGGCAGCTTCAGGTGGCTGAGTGTGGTGCAGAAGACAAAAGTGGATGAGGTCTCTTGTCCCTGAGTCTTTGCAAAAACTTGGCATCAGAAGGCTGAGACCACTGCTTGGGTTGTTTCTTTGTGACCAGGGACCTTGCTTTAGTTGTACAACGTCTTGACTCCTGCCCATGATGACCAATAATGTACATTGTCTTGTGGTTCCACAACCTTCCCTTAACAGACACATGTGTCCTGTCTTCCACACAGCTGACTCCCTGCAGCCAGAACCTCCCTGTGCAGCACTCTGTGGGCAGTCTTTCTTGTCTCCAGTTGGATGACACTGTAACCACATGGTGCTTGTCCCAGAGCAGTGTCGGCCAAGCACCCTTCCATCCCAGAGACACTCAGGACTTCTTGTTAGCTGGTTAAAACTGAGGCAGCTCAGTCAGCCTTCATCCTCGCTGTCATTTCATTGATCCTAATTGGAACCCTATGTGCTGTCCAGGTTTCTGTCTTCTTGCTGTACCTCGCTCCTCAGATGGCCTCCCTGTTCCAGTCCCACCAGTCCAAATCCTTCCCAACCTTTATGATCCTACTCAGCTCCTCCCCTGATCCATGTCCTGCCCCAGCTAGCCTAGTACCTCTTGTTTGGCGGTGCTCCATGACACGTGTCAGTGGAAGGTGGTCCTTACCTGTTAGGCATATGGTCACTTTGGTCATGGAGATAGATGCCTGCTTAAGCCCGTGGAGGGTAGATGGCAGGTTTTGGTGAGAGACGTGTCTGATTTTCATTGAGGAGGCCTCTCTTCTACTCATGAAACTGTAGACACCACAACTCTTGAGTTTCAGTGGAAGGGGTGTTGTCTTCTCTCCCTGCTTGTCATAGGACAGTTGTGGTAGGGGGGTGAGATGAAACAATGCTCCACAATTGTTGATTACTCACGTTTTATTAATACTTCATCTCTGCATGTAATATTTACATAATAGATTTTTCACATATAACCCATGTAAACATGCTCAGGAAACTAACATACAAGGGAGTTGTACAGTTTGCAAGAAACTATACAGTACACATCGTTTGTGTAAAAAATTTGGTACATAAGAGGGGGCTTCAAAATGCTCATGGAAAAATGGAGTTCAAAGATAATGGAATTTTCCCACAAAGTTTATGAAGCCCCCTCATATATGAGTGAGCGTGGTGTGTGTGGTGAGCATGTATGCTTGCTGCAGGGTGAATGTCAACACCCCTCTTTGACAGCGAGGACTTTGTAACCAACAGAATTCAAAAGCATTCTCATGACCATGCATACAGCTGGAGAGTTGGGATTTTAAAGTGGGCTTTTGATTTTCACAAACCACTGCCCTACAAATGGCAAAACCAAGATCGTTAAGCCAGGCTTCACCCACTGGGAGTGTGTAGTTTACTGCAGAGGCAGGCAGACACTTTACTAAAGGACTGTCCTTAGGCTGTGTGGCTCTGACAGTCTTGGCCATTATAATGTGAAGGCAGTCATTTGCAACACACAAAGGAGTGGTTGTGACTGAGCTAGGAAAACTTTATTGAGTGAAACAGGTCTCAAAGTGTAGGAAAGCATCCCATCAGTTGGTAACATACTTTGCTGGTCTTAGTTTTTGAACATTTGTCCCTTTGGGTACACAGGACTCATGTTTCTCCCTCTGGTGCTCAACTGACCTGTCTGCCTGTCCCCCATTTCTTCTGCAGTATGTGGGTGCCCCAGTGGCTTACATCCAACAGATATTTGTGAAGTCCTCAGTTTCGCCCTGGCACAAGAACCTCCTGGCAGTGGATGTGTTCCGTTCACCTCTATCCCGGGCATTTCAGCTGGTGGAGGAGATCCAGAACCACATGCTGAGAGACAGGTACCCCTCCCAGGGGCCCCAGCCTTCCGAGTCCAAATCTGAACTGAAGGCAGAGTGGCAGTCCTCTGTGATTCACTGAGCCAGCCAGCTCATAGACGTCGTAGACACAGGTGTCACCTTAGCGTTTTAGACAGAATAGGTGTTTTTTGGGCCCTGTTATGAGCTGACTTGTGATTTGGATGGTTTCTCGCCTGGGTGTTGGACATGAATGTGATGGTGTTGAAGAGAAAGAAACTTGCCCTGCTCAACACTTCCGAAACCCGCCCTAATCTTTGCCCTCAGCTCATCAGTGCGCGTCTGCAGTGTGTTACCTTCACAAAAGCTGCACCACCAGGTTTTATTTAGCTGTTGGCTTTACTGGGAAGTTTGGGGAACTCTGTGGAACCCCTAATCTTCACTGTCTCCCCTCTGGCCCGCTGAGTCAGTGAAGCTGACCCACACCCACAAAGCACACACTTACTTGCCTCTTCTTGGAGGTTAGTGGGCTTTGAGCTCCAGATGTACTTGGAAGGTCTGTTGAGTCCCTGGAAGAACTTCCCCATTACCTTAAACCTCAGGTTCTCTGGTGATGTGTCAAGGAACCTACGACAGAGGTTGTCCCTGTGTGTGTGGTGGACCTGCCCTGTCCTGTCTCCTGCACAGCTCAGGGACCAGGGCCCTGGAGGAGGTATGCCTGCAGGTGACCGATCTACTGCCCAGCCTCAAGAAACTCCGAAACGTGCTACCTGAGCATGGATGCTTGCTGCTCTCTCCTGGGAACTTCTGGCAGAATGACCGGGAACGCTTCCACGCTGATCCTGACATCATTGCTACCATCCACCAGCACGAGCCCAAAACTCTGCAGACCTCGGCCACGCTCAAAGGTACCCTGAGCAGGTGTCTGTCAGTGTCTCCTACTTGGGTGGCCCCAGCAGATCAGCAGTTCCCTCTTGCTTCCTGACTGCTTTGCTGTCTTTCTGTCTGCAGATTTGCTATTTGGGGTTCCTGGGAAGTACAGTGGTGTCAGCCTCTACACCCGAAAGAGAATGGTCTCATACACCATCACCCTGGTCTTCCAGCGCTACCATGCCAAGTAAGACTGCCGACTGGCTGAGTCATCCCAGTCCCTCTTCTTGTCAGAGTGCTTGGATTGCATTCTGGGAGCTTGAAGTTTTCAGGCCTCCCATGAAATGTTTTCCTCCTCTAGATTGGAGCACACTGTTTGCTCGGGTTTGAATAGGTACAAACTTAGAGCCAGTTAAGAAAAGAAAACGGGACTCAGGCAAATCCAGCATCCTCCTGCCTCCACTGCCTGGCCTGATCCTGGGACAGATGTCCCCAGCCTGCTCATGCTGAGTCCCATGTGCCTCAGAGTCCTCATTCACAGTACTGCAGAGAGCTTTCAGTGGTTGACAAGACCACCTGAGATGCCTTCACCTGGCTATCCTGAGCCTCTGGCAGCAGTGCTGATAGGTGGAGAGGGGCTGCTGAGAAAGGAGTAAGAAATCCTGAAACAACTTTGCTAGCCTTGTAAATTAATTCTTCCAACACCCTTGGGAACATGAACATTCCCCCTCTAACTCTAGGGGTGTGTGGAGGAGTAGGGATTGTCTGTCCTCTGGACCAAGAAGGAGACAGCACCCACCTGCCACCCTTCCATGCCCAGGTTCCTGGGCAGCTTGCGTGCCCGCCTGATGTTGCTGTACCCCAGCCCCAACTGCAGCCTCCGGGCAGAGAACCTGGTCCATGTGCACTTCAAAGAGGAGATTGGCATCGCTGAACTTATACCCCTCGTGACCACTTACATCATCCTGTTTGCATACATCTACTTCTCCACACGTAGGTCCATGGTGGGAGGTGTGGTGGGCTCTCTCCCAGCCACCAGGCACTTCCAGATCACCCTCTTCCCTGCCTCTGAAAGTGATGTGGGACAGAGATGCCTGGTAGTCCTTAATCCCTCAGCAAGGAGCTCTGGTAGCGTAGTGGTTACGAATCGGGCTGCAAACCGCAAGGTCAGCAGTTCGAAACTACCAGCTGTTCTGCGGGAGAAAGATGAGGCTTTCTGCTCCCGTAAAGATTTACAGCCTTGGAAAGCCTGTACAGGGTCGCTATGAGTTGGAACCTACTCCACAGCACATAACAACAATCCCTCAGCATGGTCTCAGGGGATTGGGTGTGTACAGGGCTCCTTGCGTGTCTCAGAGAAAGCCTTCTCCTGAATTGAGGGGTTCCCTAGAGTTGCACCATGTCCATGAGACTAGAAAGTGTCCGTGGCTGCCCTCTCTTAGGGCTAAAGCAGAAGCCCTCGCTCCCCTGGTTCTTAGGCACCCTGCTTCCCAGGAGCTCAGTTAGGAAGGGTCTTTGGAGGCCAGGGGCTTGGGAGGTGCTGCCCTGATATGTCCTTTCTGACCTTCAGTTAGGAAGGGCCTGTGGAGGCCAGGGGCTTGGGAGGTGCTGCTCTGATATGTCCTTTCTGACCTTCAGGCAAGATCGACATGGTCAAGTCCAAGTGGGGGCTGGCCCTCGCTGCTGTGGTCACGGTGCTCAGCTCGCTGCTCATGTCTGTGGGGCTCTGCACACTCTTCGGCCTGACGCCCACCCTCAACGGCGGGTATGTCCTCCACAGGCTCCACTGGGCCACAGGGTGGGCCCTCAGACACACAGCCTTTTACATCTGGGCACTTCCCTGCCATCACTCCATGTCCTTATGTTGTTGTCCTTGACACTGTAGCAGTGCATTACTTTTGTCTTGTATTCACTACATTTCAGATGTGTATATATGTACATACACATGTGTATTTATGTGTACAATAGTAAATAAAGTACTGCTACGAGCTCTGGTAGCGTAGTGGTTACGAATCGGGCTGCGAACCTTAAGGTCAGCGGTTCGAAACTACCAGCCGCTCCACGGGAGAAAGATGAGGCTTTCTACTCCCGTAAAGATTTACACCCTCGGAAACCCTGTACAGGGTCGCTATGGGTCAGACCCGACTCGATGGCATTTAACAACAACAACACTAGGGTTTGGCACAGGACTGGACAGTATTTTGTGCATAAGGTTGCTATGAGTCCTTACTGATTCAATCAGTGGATGGATACAGACAAGTTCTCTCAGTGATACACTTGTCTGAGTCTTTGTGGTTGTTGCTGTTACGTGCCGTCAACTTGGTCCTAACTCGTAGCAACCCCACATAGGGTTTCCAAGGAGTGGCTGATGAATTTGAACCAACCTTGCGGTCCAGTGCTTTTTCCTACAGCGCCACACCAGGACTTCTGAGTCTTGCTTGTTGTGGTTGTTAAGTGCCGTCGAGTTGGTTCCGACCCATAGCTACCCTATATAGGGTTTCTGAGGTGTGGTGGATGAGCTTGAACCCCACTGACCTTGCAGTTCAAATGACATTGTAGTGCAGTGCATTAACCCGCAACGCCACACCAGGACTCTTGTTAGGTGCCTTAAAATATATATATATGTATGTATATATCCAAACAAAACAGTGGCTACCAAAGGGAGTCTGTTGGGCCAGTTAAGTTCAAGACAAAGAGGTCTGCTCAGAAGGTTATGGTGACTGTTTTTTTTAAAAATCCAAAAGGATTATCTTAGTAGATTTTCTAGCAGGACATAGGATGATCACGGGGACTTATAAGAAAGAAATTTTAAGAACATTGAAAACTGCATTGGTGAGGAAAGTTGTTCCAAGGAATTTTTTCCATCAGGACACTGTAACTGCTCATTGTTTGAGGGCAGCAATGCCTGTTCTGTGAGAATCTCATTAGGAAATTATCCCCACCCACCCTGCAGCCTTGATCTTCCTTCTTCGGGTTTCTTTTTGTTTGCAAAACTCAAGAACATTTCAGAGGAACACAATTTGAGTCCCTCGAGGATGCCAAAGCTACCATTTGACGTGGTGTAATTAAAGAGTGTGGAATTCTTCAGGGGCAGGAATAGAGAGATGGAAACGCTGTCTTCAGATGTGTATAGACCTAGATGGAAGTTACGTTGAGAAACAGTGGCTATTTGGATATTTTTGTTTAACAAAGATTTCTTTGGTTTTGTAAGAATAGTTTTTTACTTACTCTCATATATGTGTGTGTGTATATAAGTTACGTGCTGTCAAGTCAGTTCTGACTCAGAGACACCCTATTGTTTATTTTCCAAGGAGTGACTGATGGATTTGAACTGCTGACCTTATAGTTAGCTGTCCAGTGTTTATCCTACAGCACCACACCAGGACTGAAACAAAACAAAACAAAACAAAAGCAACAAAAAAATGTCATGGTGGTGGTTGTTAAGTACCATCGACTTGGTTCTGACTCATAGGGTTTCTGAGGAGCAGCTGGTACGTTTGAACTGGATCAAACTTGGAGTTCAATCCAACCTTGCAGTCCAATGCATTATCCCACAGCACTACACCAAGACATGTCACAAAGTAGTAGGTGGCAGTGCTTTAACCGTAAGGTCCAAGGGCCGATTCCACCATTGTCAAGGGAAGTGCTAAACTTCTCTTCTTTCATACAGTGCATATATATAAACAGAATATTTCCATGAACTCTTTGAAAACCCCTTGTATCGGGTATGAATTTTTATGTAGTTGTGTTTAGAAAGATGAATATGTCTGTATATATTTGGTGTGTGCATATGTCTGAGTCAATGGATACATGTGTATATATATATACATGCTCATATGCATACCACTTCTTGATGGCTAAGTCACAGACGGGTGTGAGGTAGAAGAGAGTACATTACTTTCTTTTTAAAATCTTACAACATTAGAAGCCTAATGAACTAAATTATTTTAGAGTTAAGCACCTTGCTCTCTGCTGTGTACACTCCATTTGCTGTTTATCTCTGGAAGCCCTTCTTACCCAGGGAAGGTTTGGTCTCCGTCTGGCAAGGCCCACCTACCGGTTGGTAGTCCATGAGCCAGTTGGTCTCTCCTCCACCTTGACGCTCAGGCTGGTCACATCAAAAGCAATTTTGTGGTGGTCTTCTCTTACCCCCTTCCTGCTGTCCCTCAGGTCTCTTGCTCCATCGTCTCCACAGGGACACCCAGCTGATGTCCTTGTGCATGGACTTCTCTGATAGTCTGTTATTAGTTATGTGAGAAGGAGCCCTGGTGATACAGTGGGTAAGCACCCACCAGTCGTGGGAGAAAACACCAGGGGATCTGCTCCTGTAAAGCCTTGGAAGCTCTATGGGAGAGTTCTCCTCTGTCCTCTAGGTGACTTGGAATTGACTGAATGGCACACAACAGTAATATGAGTTTGTGGCCTGGGATAGCTAGTAGTCTGGTTTAGGGACAACTGCTCTTCCCCACACTCACCTTCCATTCTGCATGGCTCAGTTTGCCTGTGTTTCTGTGGGATCTTGGCTGTGGTAATTGGCCGGCAGACTGGTGTGGCAAGAGCAGCACTGTGTGGACAGATGGAGGTGGGATTGATTTCTAGACCCCTGACAAGGTTTCAAGGCCTGCCTGAAGACCAAGAGTGCAGTGGACAGAGGCCTGTTGGGTGGGAGGGCAAGTTTTCCTTCCCATGCTTAGAGTCCCTCAGTCTGGAAAACCAGCAGGCTTCCAAGGGTCTGGAACCTGTTGAGATCCAACCCTGTGTTGGGGTGTACACTACAGTGCCCCACACTTTCTCCCTCTCTCCCCAGTGAGATTTTCCCGTACCTTGTGGTGGTCATTGGGCTGGAGAATGTGCTGGTACTCACCAAGTCTGTGGTCTCTACCCCAGTTGACCTTGAAGTAAAGCTGCGGATTGCCCAAGGTAACATTGTGCTGTGGAGCCGGGTGGGGTAGGGGTGCTATGTTGGGGCAGCCTTGCCTATAGGGATTCTAGAAGCCTCCCTTGTCTTGTCTCTGGCCTCCAGCAAAATAAACAGTGGGCCACCAGGCCTGGTGGCTTGTTAGCACGTGCCCAGAGGAGCGGTGATCTATCTGGACCATCCTTTGTCCAAGTTCGTATGTCAGTAAGAGAGTGAATCAGGCTCTGCCGTGTGGCCCGTGTGTCTGTAAGAGAGTGAATCAGGCTTTGCCGTGTGGCCCGTGTGTCTGTAAGAGAATGAATCAGGCTCTGCTGTGTGGCCCGTGTTTCAGTAAGAGATTGAATCAGGTTCTGCCGTGGCCCGTGTGTCAGTAAGAGATTGAATTAGGCTCTGCCGTGTGGCCCGTGTGTCAGTAAGAGAGTGAATCAGGCTCTGCTTTGTGGCCCGTGTGTCTGTAACAGAGCGAATCAGGCTCTGCCGTGTGGCTTGTGTGTCAGTAAGAGAGCGAATCAGGCTCTGCTTTGTGGCCCGTATGTCTGTAACAGAGCGAATCAGGCTCTGCTATGTGGCTTGTGTGTCAGTAAGAGAGTGAATCAGGCTCTGCCGTGTGGCCCGTGTGTCTGACAGCAGCCTTACTTCTGGACTCGGGCCTGCTGCTTTCTCTTCCCACCTTACTCCACAACATGGGACCACACAGGTCACATTGGAGATGCTGTCTCAAGAGCTGTCAGAGAAGTCCCCTCAGGCCTCACTGGTATAGGGGTTCTGGTGAAAATGAGAAAAGAAAGAGCCCCACCCTGGAGGCTTGGGGTCTTAAGCGCCGCCTCCTGAGCCTAGATGCAGGCTGCTTATGTGCTCTGCGCTATGATGAGCCCGGCCCTGCCCAGATGTGAGTTTACTCAGAGATGAGAGGCAACGGCCCTCCAGACTAGGAGCCCAGAGCCTTATACATGAAATGGTGTGAAGGCATGGGGTTCAGGGCCTTGGTGTAGGGAGGGGCATCTGAGGAAGAACACAGCTGCTCTCCTTTCCCACAAACCATTCTCCACATGTCAGGAGGGCCAGACTCCTAGGCTGTACCCACCTGGACCAGACAAGGACAGCATGTGGAGGTTGGCAGTGGCTAGAGTTGGTAGTCCTTAGCTTTCCTCTTAGGCTTCCTCATTTCATTCCCTATTCTGCTGAGGTCCATCCAAGCCTGAAGCCCCCTCTTTGTATAGCAGCTGTGGCACTGATGGTCGCACCTTAAAGCCACAGCTTTGGCAGGTCCCAAGGGTCAGGCACTTTGGTGGATGGCAGCCTTCAATCGCTGTGCCCAGCCTCTACCGTGCATGCTGCAGGGCTGCATGCAGAGGACTGCGGAGGGAAGTAATGTGCTGGCCCCACCCCCCCTTTCATCCTCTGCAGGCCTCAGCAGTGAGAGCTGGTCCATCATGAAGAACATGGCCACGGAGCTGGGCATCGTTCTCATTGGCTACTTCACCCTAGTGCCTGCCATCCAGGTGAGGCCCTGGTGCTGTGCGGTCCTCTCCTGGGCTGGAGCCTGGGTGAATGTGGGGCTGCCTTCCGGGTTCCCCAATTTGGGGCCATGGGCAGGGCCATGGCTCCCTCACCTGAGATGGGGCCTCTGCCTTTTGAAATGGTTGTTAAGGGGCCTGAGCCCCTGACGTGCCTGTTTCAGGAGAAGCACTCTGTGTGCCTGACTGGATTTAAGCTTCTGGACAGCTCTGCCTTTGGCCACGCCCCCTTATCCTTCCTGATTGCTTTCCCGTTAGCCAGATAGGCAGTTGGAGCTCAAGGGCAAGGTGGTCAGGTTGTACAGCGACTAGTGGCCAGCTGTGCAGTGAAGCGCAGCTGCTTCCAGTCAGACCCAGTTTCCCTCTTCTCAGGCAGACACTGTCCTCTCCCATCTTTCTGACACTGATCATGACCCTGACCCCTAGCTGCAGTCTAAAGATGTATGGCCGGCCCTGTGGGAGGCGACCACCCATGACCCCTATTCTTGATAAAGCCTCTCAGCTGTAGGGCTTACAGTGAGTCAGGACCCCAGGCTGTTGCTGCTCATACTGGGGGAGGGGTGGCACCATTGTCTGTTCCCCATCCTACCCCCCCCCCCCCGGGATGATAGACCTGCTAAGGTGTGGGGGTGTGCAGAAGGCACACCAGGCTTAGTTCCCAGACAGCCCAGAGCGAGGTCTGTAGGACACATGTAGCCTCGGGATGTTTGAGCAGACATTGTAGGGCTATTTGGAGTCCAGGGTGACGTACCCAAGGTCTTCAGCAAGAATGGGGCAGAGTGTAGAGGGACTGGAATCAGAAAATCTCAGTGATAGAGCTTGGGGACCAGAGAGACCACCTTTTATCAGATTTAGGACAGTGCCTTACTCCATCCCTCTTTGGTCCAGGAAGTGTATTAGAGTCCAAAATTGTGTTGGCCACTGGTAGATGAGCAGAGCCAGGTGCTAAGTTGGAGGACTTTATATGGGGCAGACTGGGGTCTCTGGTGCTTCCAGTTTGAATGAGATGCTTCCACTTATCTAGTGAAACCAGAGGATTCTGGGATTCTACTCTTCAGAGGTATGGGGGTCTCTGCTGCCCCCCTGTGGGAGTAGAGTGATGAGCTGGATTGGGCTCGCCTTGGCCACTCCCAGATTCTGCTGTGCTCTGTTCTATGGGTTCTGGTATTGAGGTGACCTGAGGCAGGGAGCTGCTTCTCTGGGGTTCTGGACCAAGAAGTCATGGCATTGCCCTTGTCTGATTCCAGGAGTTTTGTCTCTTTGCTGTCGTGGGCTTGGTGTCCGACTTCTTCCTTCAGATGCTATTCTTTACCACCGTCCTATCCATTGACATTCGCCGGATGGAGGTAGGAGTGGGCTGAGTTCTGCCACCCACCTCCTCAGCCCTGACTGCCCATGGAACCTCTGCTTGTGGGCCGCTTTGATCAGCAAGCCTGACCACACTGCTCCCTCAACAGCTAGCAGACCTGAACAAGCGACTGCCTCCAGAAGCCTGTGTGCCCCCCGCTAAACCAGTGGGCTGGGCAGCTCGCCATGAACGGCACTTGGCTGTGCGGCCGTCCATGCCTCACACCATCACCCTGCAGCCATCCTCCTTCCGAAACCTGCGGCTCCCCAAGAGGCTACGTGTTGTCTACTTCCTGGCCCGCACTCGTCTGGCACAGCGCCTCATCATGGTACCTGGCACCCCACCCATCTCCTCCAGCAGCCCAGGGTCAGGTTCCCTCTGAGGCTGCACTCCCCCGCTGAGCAAGGGGTGCTTCTCAGCCCCTGGTGGCCTTGTGGCTGCCCTGGTGTCCTCCCTGTCCAGGCCTGATGGTTTCTGAGGAGATGAACCTGTCTCTCTGAGATGTAGCCCCTGGCTGTTCTGGTGGAGGAGCTGTCATCTCCCCAGAGCACCTAAGACTGACCCAGGAAGGAGCCTGCTAGCTAGGGTGCTCAGGAGCAGAACCAGCTCACAGCCGCATGTGTTCCCGTGGGTCTGCCCTTTGTGCAAACATCAGAAAATACCAGGTGAAATAATTCACCTCTGGGTAGAGCAGGAGGAAGAGAAGCAGGGCTGCCGAAGACGGATATGTCTTTCTAGGAAGCTAATGTTAGGGGAGTGAGGACCCTGGGAGCCCTCTGGTCATGTGACCACAAGAACGGTAGCAGCTTTCTGGCCCCAACTGAGATCTGGTGAAGGGTTCTGCTAACCGTAAAGGTGCCCCAGTGTATTTTCAGGCTGGCAGACCCAACCCCTGACCGTGGATAGTGAACCTGGCCACATGTCGGGGACGAGGGAGTTCCACAGCAGACAGGGCCAAAGCTGTTGGGGGTTGGGACTGCCCTTTCCTCCCAGGGGTCCCACTGAGTCCCGGACACCCCACTGCAGGCTGGCACTGTCGTGTGGATCAGCATCCTGGTGTACACAGACCCAGCAGGGCTGCGCACCTACCTTGCTGCCCAGGTGACAGAACAGAGCCCGCTTGGTGAGGAAGGCCTTGCTCCCATGCCTGTGCCCAGCAACGTGCTGCCAGCCAGCCACCCGGACCCCGCGTTCTCCATCTTCCCACCCGATAACCCTAAGCCAGCCGAGAACCAGACGTCACCAGGGGAGCCACCTGGACCCATGGGTCCAGCAGAGAACATCCATGACAGCCCAGTTCCCGAGGTCACTTGGGGGCCTGAGGATGAGGAACTCTGGAGGAAATTGTCCTTCCGCCACTGGCCAACACTCTTCAGCTACTATAACATCACACTGGCCAAGAGGTGCGTCAGGCTGTGAACCCGCTTATGGTGTCAGCTTACCACCCTCTAGCAGCCCCTTCCCCTGGTTACCAAGGAGTTAAGCGTTCTTTTTCAAATAATTTAAGACAACTCATAGGGTTGTTTAGTGGGAGCTGATATTCTGAGCAGCCACACTCCAGAGAGTGGTCCTGGGGCCATGCTCTGTAGAGTCACAGAGATCCAGCCATGTGGTATATCCACTCTGCCAGGAGAGGTGAGACCTCAGAGATGGTGGCTGCTTGGGTGTTGGGGGTAAAGCAAGGTTGGGATGCCAGGGCTGGGCCCCGGAAAGACTTACTGGGTGGTTTTGAGTCCAGCAGATTGAGCTGAGTCCTGCATGGAGAACTTGAGCGGGTAGGGAGCCTTCTCTGGTGTCTCCTCTGAGCCTGTTTGCTCCTTCCCAGGTACATCAGTCTGTTACCGGTCATACCTGTCACCCTCCGCTTGAACCCCAGAGAGGCCCTGGAGGGGCGGCACCCCCAGGATGGCCGAAGTGCCTGGCCACCACTGAGACCAGGCCCAGCACACAGTGGGCTCTGGGAGCCCAACCCCAAGGGAGCTGGTGGGGCACAGACCCATGGAGACGTCACCTTGTACAAGTAAGGCTCATGAGGGTATTACGGTGGGGCCGGCAGGTGGGGCCAGGCACACCTCACACTCCTCCCACTGGCCCAGGGTGGCGTTGCTCGGCCTGGCTGCGGGCATTGTCCTTGTGTTGCTGCTGCTTTGCCTCTACCGTGTGCTCTGTCCACGGAACTATGGGCAGCTGGGCGGGCCTGGCCGGCGGAAGCGTGGGGAGCTGCCCTGTGATGACTATGGCTATGCACCACCTGAGACGGAGATCGTGCCCCTGGTGCTGCGTGGGCACCTCATGGTAAGTAAGCATGGGGCAGCAGTGGGCACAAGGGCACCCAGGGCCAGGGCCACACCAGTACAGCATCCTCCCCTCCCTCAGGACATCGAGTGTCTGGCCAGCGATGGCATGCTGCTGGTGAGTTGTTGCCTGGCGGGGCACGTGTGCGTGTGGGATGCACAGACCGGAGACTGCCTGACACGTATCCCAAGGCCTGGGTAGGTGCTGCCCCCACACACTTACTTCCCACATCCCTTCTTTCCCTCTCCACTCCTTCTCTAAGCCACCCTGTGCCCCTACCTGCTCCCACCCCACCCCTGCCCCTGTGCTTCCACCCTGCCTCAACCCTCCTCCGGGCCCCACCAGCAGGCAGCGCCAGGACAGTGGTGTTGGCAGCGTGTTTGAGGCTCAGGAAAGCTGGGAACGTCTATCAGACGGCGGGATGGGCCTGGAGGAGTCTGGGGACAGCCCCTTACTGCAGCACCGCCCCCGGGGTCCTCTGCCACCTTCCCTCTTCGGGGACCAACCAGACCTCACCTGCCTCATCGACACCAACTTCTCTGCACAACCACGCCTGCAGCCCTCGGAGCCCGCCAAGCCCGAGCCACGGCACCGAGTTGGCTGTGGCCGCGCCCAAGACTCCCCAGGCTATGACTTCAGCCTCCTGGTGCAGCGGGTGTACCAGGAGGAGAGGCTGGCTCCCCTCCACTCACCAGCTGTGCGCCCACCCTCGCCCGGGTCTGTACTGCTCCCAGCCCCTGAGGAAGGGGGCTCGCCTTCAGAGAAAGGCTCCCCTTCTCTTGCCTGGGCCCCCAGCGCAGATGGCTCCATCTGGAGCCTGGAGCTGCAGGGCAACCTCATCGTAGTGGGGCGGAGCAGTGGCCGTCTGGAGGTGGGCAGGGCTCCCTTTCCCCAGGCGAGCGGGTGGAGGGCTGCAGGCCTTCTGGGTGGGAGGGCAGGTGTTCACAGCCTCTGATTTGCAGGTGTGGGATGCCATTGAGGGGGTACTACGCTGCAGCAGCGAGGAGGGTTCCTCCGGCATCACTGCCCTAGTCTTCCTGGACAAAAGGTGAAAGTGCCCACCGAGCCTGCCTCCGCGCCAGGCCACTGAAGTCCTGGCCCCTCCACAGGGTGACCCTGCACTCCAATTTCCCACACCTGTGTACAGAAGGCATTCGTGCAGCACGATGGGAGGGATGATAGTAGGGCTAGAGAACAATGTGAAGTCCTTAACTACTGTGACAGGTGGGGTGGGGACACAGTGTGCCCATCCTCCCTATGAACCTGACACTTCTGGGTTTTGCAGCTACGTTTTCAGTTACAGAAAATGTATTTCCTGAAGAAGCATCCTCTTACGAGTATTCTTCTCTTGGTTGCTGGATGGGGTTTTCTCAGCTTCCTGCTGTGGCTGCCTCCCCCACCCCTGAGTCCCCATCTATCCAGGTTTAGCCCAACTGCTGACAAACACCACCCCCTGCCCCATGCTATTTCATGTCTTAACTATGCTTGCTGGGAACCCTCCTGTGGCATACTTTTAGCTTCAAGGGAAAGTCCATGTCTCAGTCTGACCCTCCTGGTTCCTGGGGTCTCAGCCCTCCATCATGGCTTCTCCAGGCCTGCTGTGGACCCTATAGCTAAGGGGGCAGAGGGCTAGACATAAATTGCCTTTTGATGGAGTCAGACTTCTGAACCCCATTCACTGCAAAATCACCACATCCTACCTGTACCTAGAGATTGACTTCCTTGTGGAAAAAAGAAATGGATTGGGCTGTGCTTGGGTGGAGTTGTCTTTACGTAAGAATGTCCGCTGGAGTCACCTAGTGAGGCAGCAACTTGTCCTGTGGCCCTGTGTACTGGCAAGTCTTCCCATGTGTTTGTTTTAATGTACATTTTACATGTTATGTCATTTAATCCTCACAACCACACTGGGAGGTAGATACTTTGATTCCCACTTAACCGATGAAGAAACTGAAGCACAGAGGTTGATTCTTACAGAGTTGCAGCCTGGTTGTTCTGGTGCTTTACTCCCCCCCAGCAATGTATGCTCCCTTGGTGCCGATTACTCATGTCCCTTGCGGAACCTGACCAGCTGGTTCTGCCCTCTTGTGTCCGCTACCTAGCCCTGCTTAGCCTGTCAGGTACCTGGGCAGGGCACAGGGCACAGGGCTGACACTGAGAGAGAGGGACCCTGGCAACTGTTTTTCTCTTTCAGGATTGTGGCTGCCCGGCTCAATGGCTCCCTCGATTTCTTCTCCTTGGAGACCCACACTGCTCTCAGCCCCCTGCAATTCAGAGGTCGGAGGGCCTGGGTGGGCACATCCCCACAGGTGGTGGGCCGAGTATAGGGGATGCTTTCTCAAAGGTCCCTCACTTGGCCTCCTGTCCCCAGGTACCCCAGGGCGGAGCAGTGCTACCACATCCCCAGTTTACAGCAGCAACGATGCAGTGATCTGCCGCATGACCCACACGGTGCCCTGTGCCCACCAGAAGCCCATTACAGCCCTGAAGGCTGCTGCTGGGCGCCTCGTGACTGGGAGCCAAGACCACACACTGAGGGTGAGCGTTTCCTTGGTGTCCAGGCTGGGCTAGCCAGAGTTAGAGGTCAGAGCTTTTGGGGTCACTCAGGAAGAAAGACTAGAGCTGGAATTTCCAGGCTAAAATGTAATTTGGAAAATCCCAGTGAGGCTGGAACTTGATGTCACTCTGTCCTCAGGTATTCCGTCTGGAGGACTCCTGCTGCTTGTTCACCCTGCAGGGTCACTCAGGGGCCATCACCACCGTGTACATCGACCAGGTGAGGGGCGTATGTGCACAACTGTTGGGAAGGTGGAGGCACCAAGATGGGCATTCTTTTTCGACTATTGGTAGCTTTAGAGGCAGAGGGGGAGCCTTCTCCAACAAACCAGTCCCCTGGACCCGTTTCTCAGACTATGGTGCTGGCCAGTGGTGGACAAGATGGGGCCATCTGCCTGTGGGACGTGCTGACTGGCAGCCGAGTCAGCCATATGTTTGCTCACCGTGGGGATGTCACCTCCCTCACCTGCACCACCTCCTGCGTCATCAGCAGTGGCCTAGATGACCTCATTAGTATTTGGGACCGTAGCACAGGCATCAAACTCTACTCCATTCAGCAGGTAAGGGGGGGCGGGGGGCACAATCCCTAAGGTGCTGCTCAGCCCTGTTTTAGGGCATACTCAAAACTGAGTTGGCCATGTTCTTTGCCTACAGGACTTGGGCTGTGGTGCAAGCTTGGGTGTCATCTCAGATAATTTGCTGGTGACCGGTGGCCAGGGCTGTGTCTCTTTTTGGGACATAAACTACGGGGACCTGTTGCAGACTGTGTACCTGGGGAAGAACAGTGAGGCCCAGCCGGCCCGCCAGATCCTGGTGCTGGACAACGCTGCAATCGTCTGCAATTTCGGCAGTGAGCTCAGCCTGGTGTACGTACCTTCGGTGCTGGAGAAGCTGGACTGACGGCAGCAGCAAAGAACATGCTCAGTGGGGGCAATGCACTGGATGGAGGGAAGGAACCCAGTGTGTCTGTTCTACCTCCAATAAACTTTTTCTATAAAAAAAATCACACCTGCCATCCTTCTTCGCAGAAAGGAGCTCCTGCCTCACTTCCTCCTCCCTTCGCCCAGGGGCCTGCTCTGAGCTGGTACAGAAAGGAACTGTAAATTGGCTACAGAAATTAACCATTTCAGAGCCAGAAAGACTGGTATCCTGCAGCGACAGATGGACTCTGACACTGGCCACAGAACAGGCTGCTTTATTGTTCTGATAGCAAAAATGTCAGGTTCCACAAAGAAGCAGAACCTGGCCCAAGGCTCATGAAAATTCCCCACCCCTCGGAGGTGCAGGTCAGGCTGAAGGCAGCAGGAATTGGGGTAGGAGAAACGGTACCCACTGGACACAGGCAAGTGGGCAGTGGAGGTGATGTAGTGTAAGGACCAGACATGGGGAACCTGTTCAGGTCTTGTTGAGTGTCCAGAGTGGGTCCAGAAGGCTGAGGGGGTCATCAGCAGGCCGGGCAGCACGAAGTCCCTGCCCATTATGGGCCTGCAGAAAGTTCTGCTTGCTCATTCGCTGCTTTCCTCGCAAGGAGCTGTCCAGGGAGAAGGCCTCAGGGGTCAAGGAGGCCAGCAGCTCCAGGGAGGAGGAGGGGGGCCCCAGGCTAGAGGCTTCAGGCACCAGAAGTTCCTCCTCAGGTTGGGGGTCCTCAGGCAGAGGAGAGGAAGGAGGGGGTGGGGAGGAGGGAGGGAGCTGGGTGGGTTCTGGGAGATTGGCTGGAGGTGGGCCTGGGGGTTCTGCAGGGCCTAGCAGAATGGTAGCCTGGGACTCCAAGCCTCCTGAAGGTCGGATGCTGAGCTTGGCGATGGTGGCTTGAATAGAACTGATGGGCACATCACCGCCAAGGACTAGGTCCTGAGAGTCCTGAGGCAGGTGATTCTGATAAGACAGACTTAAGTGAGGAAAGAGACCAGGAGGCTGTGGCAGGCCCAGCAGCCCCCACGGGCTAAATTTAACTCACCTTCTGGCTGATGCCTGCAGTGGCCAAGGGCTTGCAGGGAGGGGGCATGCCATGTCGCTGTAGAACCTGCTCCACATGTCTCACCACAGCCTCGTGGCAGAACTTCAGGTGCAACTGCAGGAGTGCATTTGGACAGCTCAGTGTGGCAAGGCCTGACCCCCAAGCCCTGCTGGTGATTGCCCCAAGGCCCTCACCTTCTCTTGCAGCATGTGCTTCCTCTGTTGCCGCATGCGCCGCACCAGCTGAGGCAGCTCCGGGATGCCATTCCCAGCTTCCACCTCCTGCACAGCCGCGTAAAGCAGGGCAAAGGCACCTGTGCGGCCCACACCGGAGCTACAGCAGGAAGATGGGACAAGTAAGGCCATGCCAAGGGCGCATAGGGATGAGCAGGCAGCTGCTCATCTCATTCTTACCTGCAGTGCACAACAATGGGAGTGTGCAGGGGACGCTGGTGCAGGTAGTGCGCATGCACCTCCTGGATGAAGCGGAGCAGGTTGCTGGGGCTGTCGGGCAGGCCTCTGTGTGTAGGGGGGCAAGGCCTGTGAATGGGGCCAGGACCCGCCCTCTAGCCAACTACGGATGGATAGCCCCATTCCACCCGCCCAGGTAACAAAACTCACAGTTCAGGCCAGGTGGGAAAGTGCAGATGTACGAGAGAGCGCTTGAGGCTCTGGTCCCGGAACTGTAAGCTCAGCACGCGCTCCACATGGGTTTCAGTGGTGCGAACACTGCTCAGGGCCAAGGTCAGGGCACCGTGCACTGTGGGCTGGCCCCTCTCCGTGGGGAAGTAGCGTGTCACCTTTTGCTGTAGAGCAGTCAGGCAGGCAGTAAGGCCGGTCTGCTGGGGTCCTTCCACCCCCACAAACTCATAGGCATCTCCCCCCCACTCACCTTCTCCATTTCTGCCTCAGACACCAGCATGACAATGACTGACACTTTCTGCTCATGCACCATGAGCCAGAAGTCAGCAGCTGTGCCAGGTAGGGGGGCCTGGGTGGCCACCAAGGGCGGGCAGTACGGTGAGAGTCCCTCCACGCGGCTGGCATTGATGTAGTCATCCTTGCCTGAGCGCAGTACCACCCGGTTACTGTCATAGGGCATTACGTCTTGGTGTCGGTTCTTGAGTGAGTAGCAGCGGGCAATGGCGATAGATCGGCCCCGAGCATCCTGTTCCTGTGCATCTTGCAGCTCCCGCCAGACAGTGTCCAGAGCCCCTGCATCCCCCAGCTGGCCCCGAAAAGCTTCCAGCTCCTGCTGCAACTGCCGGAGCCTCTCAGGATGCTCATAGGGGTCCCGCTCAATCAGACGAAGGGCCTGGGGCCGGCGGCCGTCTGCTGCGTCTACCTTGGTGGGTTGCAGCAGGGGCTGTCCACCCCCTGGAGGCTGGGAGCCACCATGTTGGCTCTCGGGGCTGGAGGAGAGCAAGTCTGCAGCTGCAGAGCCTCGGCGCAGGCATGGGGGTGGCTCTCCTGCAGGGGGTCGAGAGGCTACAGGGCCAGGCCCCGGTGATGGGGCAGGAGAAGGCACCAGGTGGGGACTCGGCGCTGGCTGATTGGCAGGTGGGGGGCATCGAATGGAGAGAGGGGCTGCCTGGGGGCCCAGGGGACTGGGGGAAGGGGCATATGCCATGGTGGGATGGGAAGGCTGGGGAGGCCTAGGACTAGGGAAAGGCAGAGTTCCCGAGTGGGGGAGTAAAGGGTCTTGTGTGGGGCCTGGGTAGAGCTGGGTGTGCATGGGAGGTGGCAGCTGTCCAAGGACAGGCTGAGGGACAAAGGGGAAAGGGGGCTGTGGAGGAAGGGGCCCTGGAGCCTGGGGAGGGAAAAGGTGTGGATGCTGAAGTGGAAGAGGCTGCTGGGGCCCAAAGGCCGTTCGTGTAGGATGGGGCGGGGGGCCAACTCTTGGGGCTGGAAAACCTGTGGGGATCCTGGGAGGGAAATGGTGCTGGGCTGAGGATGCTGTAAGGGGTTGCTTGGACCCTATAGGGTAGGTGTAGGGCGTGCCCAGCGGCTGTGATGGAGGTACTGGAAAGCAGGGCTGGCTGGGAACAGGGGCAGCATTTGGTCTTGGTGCCATGTGACTGGGAATGGGGGCCTGGACACTATCTACTGTTGTGGTAGCTGGCCGAACCCCCATGGCCAATTCGGGGCCTGAGAACTGGGGAGGTGGGGCTGAGGGCAGACCTGGGACTGGTGGTGGCAGTGGTGCTCCTCCCCTGTACGGACCACCGAGGACACCGTGCTGCGGGGATGATCGGGGCACGAGGGCCAGCTCAGGAGTGTAGGCAGGGGTGGGATAAAGGGCAGGTCCAGAAGCCACGGGCACTGTGGGGTGCCCTGGGACTTGGTGGGGAGGCCTGGGCTGTAGCAATGGGGGGCCCGAGTAGGTACCAGGGGGCAAAGGATTTGGAAGATAGTGGGGTGCTGGGCCTGTGGAGCCGGGGAAGGGGCTGGGAGGAAAGTGGAGCGCAGTAGCTGTTCCCATGAAGGTGTCAGGGGGCAGGCTGCGCAACTCCTCAGGAGGGTCTCCTGTCTCTGGCACCTCACCCTCCTCCCTGCGGGCCAGCACTGGTTTGGGAGCTGTGGGCCGTGGGGGAGGCTTCTTCTTCAACTCCCTGTGGAGGGGCAGGGCAAGAGAAGGCCAGACCTCCATCAGCCCAGCTCACGCAGCCTGGCTTGGAGCTGCACCACAGCCGGAGGCTCATACCCACCTGTCCAGGAGCTGCTGGCGCGCTGCCTCTCGAGCCTCACAAGTGGTCTGAGCGTGTTCCAGGAGAGTAGCCACCTTGCTTTCCAGGTCTGCGTAGAAGTCTTTGCCTTCCTGAGACTTCTTCATCAGGTCCTCATAGGCTTCGTAGGAGGCCACCAGGGTCTGTAGTGTGGAGTTCCACCTGGCCGGACATAAGGGCCACCATGAGGTGTACAGCAGGTGTAGTGTGGGACTCAGGCAGGGACACGGGCGCTAGGCACTGACTTCTGGTCCAGTTCATTGAGCACACGCCGCACAGCTGCATACTGGACATTTGCCTCTGTCAGTGCTCGGAGGATATTGTCCTGGGCAGCCAGGTTCTGTTCCAGGTACACCCTCAGCTGGTCGTACTTCTTCAGCTGCTCCTCAAACAGCTTCTAAGGGGGTGTGTCAGGGAAAGACACTCAGGGCTGCATCCTCTAAGGGAAGGGCCCAGAATCAGAGCCCCCTCCCCATTCCCCGTCCTCACCTTCATCTCTGAGTGGTCTGTGGTGACCAGTGAGGCCGTGATGTCATCCTTCTGGATGAGTTCCCGCAGCTGCTGCTCCAGGGACACACGCTGGTCCCGCATCTCCTGCACTTTGGCCAAGATGCGCTTCAGGTTCTGCAGTACAGTCTTGTCCTCTGGAGAGAGCAGTGGTCAGGAAGAATGTAGAAGCCCCCAGCTCCACGTCTCCAGGGGGCAGGAGGCTTGTTTACCTGGGGTGAGGGTTGGTGTAGGGAGGGCAGCCCGGACCTGGTCCAGAGGCCCACTGAGCAGGCGCAGGTTACCAACGTGCAGATTCATGGCGCGATGCAGCTCACTGTTGGTGAAGGAGGCCTTCTCGTGGACCTCCATGTATTTGGCCCATTCTCGCTTCACCTCTGTCAGCTCAGCCTTGGGAGCTGCTGAGCTGACTCCTGCCTGGCCCACTGCCTCCTGGAACTTCTGTTCTAGAAGCTCATCCTCCTCCAGCAGCTCCCTTATGTCCTTCAGAGAGGCCTCCACGTCCGTGAACACGCCTGACAGCGCTGTAGGGGGTGGGGTACAGCCCCTGAAGTAGGCACAGGCAGACAGACCCCACTCCAGTCTGTCCACACACAGGACAGAAACATCTGCTATCAAGGGCTTGTGTACAGCCCCAAGGCTTGCTGAGCTCTGGGAATACAAGGCAACTGGCCGCAGAGACAGTAGGGTGGCTGCTTGTCATGGTCCAGAGAGGTGCAACCTCCATCCGGAGTTTCCAGGAAGATGGTCCCGTGGTGGCCTCTACCTGCTTGCTGTGCCCCTTGCTCACCTTGCATGGACTGGACAAGGTTGCGGACAGTGTCAGGCCGGACACTGAGAGCTGCACACTTCTCCATGAGCTGGGGAGGGATGTGGTTGTATGCGTCCAGATTATCCACCGTCTCAGGATCCAGCTGCATGGAATCCATGAACTGACTATGGAGGGAACAGGACCAGGTGGGCACTGGGCACTGCCAGGGCAAGCCTTCCCGACACTGACACGAGACGTGGGACATCCTCTTCACAAAACAGTGACCCTCACCTCACAAATCCAGCCCGTAAGGCCCTGGGCAAGGAGGAGGGAGCAGTGCTCGAAATTCCTCTTACAAGAGACAGTGCTGGGCCATGAAACTAGGATGGTGTGCACCCCCTTTCCTCCCCTCCCCGCACTCACTCCAGGACCTCGTTCTTGTCCTCAATCTTGGCCATCATTTCCCGAAGCAGCTTAGCCTTTTCCTCACTGCAGGGAAAGCAGCAGAACAGTGGCTGGAAAGCTGGCTCTCCAGAGACACGAACCCACCTGTGCTAGGGTTCACCCCTCCCTCCCACCTGTACAGTGACGAGGCCTCGTGGGCAGCCATGGGCACCAGTTTGGCAAAGATGTCAGGGCCTGTGACAGCAGGGTCAGTGGGGTTCACTGGCAAGGGCTTCACCAAGGGGGCACCTGGGGGAGAAAATTGGCATTAGGTCCACATGAAGCCACTTTTTTCAACCCCCAACCCCAGCCTCTCCTCAGTTCTCAGACCTTTTACAGGTTGAAGGGTGTCCAGTGCTGGGACTGCCTCGTGGTAGATGAAGTCATTGTCCTTCTTGGCAGAATTGTACCTGGGATGTGAAGAATGAGGAGTCCAGGACCCAGCCTCTCAGGAATGCAGAGGGTGAGACTGAGTGAGACCCTTTAGGGCTACAATGAACCAGAGCCACCCTCAAGCCACCCCACAGACTCACTTTCCCCCAATGACATCCATAGCGAAGCGAAGTGCATCCTGTACAGTGTCAGGCTGGCCCTGCCAGGAATGAATAGGGGTGGGGGTCTCAGCACCAACCATGTCCTCTCACGACTTGGAGAGGATAGGCAAGTCTTTCTCAAGTTTACCTTGGCCAACTTGATGGCTTCATTGAGCTTGTCCAGGGCACTCTGGAAGTATGCAACCTGTAGCGGGCAGAGCATGGTCTGTCCTTCCCAGCTTGGGCCACCAACTCCTTCCTGCCTCCCCACCTAGGCCTGTCATCAAGTGTCCACTGAGGACACAGTCCAGCCAATGGCACCAGGTTAGCGTCACACCCGGATCCCCTAGAGCGCACACCACTACCAGCCATTCTCTTTGAAGGAAGCCCAGCACAGCACTTTCTGGGGAGGAGGGCTGCATGGACACATTAAAAAGACCCTGTCCTGAAGCAGGGCGGTGGCCAAGGAGAGGGCGAGAAGCCTACCTTCCTCTAAGGGAAGGGCCGCAAAAGGATTTCACTAGCAGGCTGGTACCGTCTGCTGTTCACAGCACTTCACTCACCCGCTCCCCGAACTTCTGCTGCTCCTCCGCCTGCTTCCCCATGTGCAGCTGGAAAAGAAGGTGCGCAGTCACTACTTGTTTCCTGGGAGGGGGCAGCTTAGCCCCGCTTGCCCCAGCGGTGCCCTCCTCACATGAGCCACAGCTGCAAAGTAGTAGATCTTCATCTGCACCAGCTTCTTCCAGTCCTTCTGGATGCGGCCCAGCAGCGAGGCGGTGTCGGGGTTCTCCAAGGCACGGCAGGCCTCTTTGTAGTAATCTACAACCTGGGGGCCCAGTCAGGAGGTGATCTGGAGTGAACCAAAGGCCTGCCCTCAGTCCCTTGAAGGTCACCATCTATTCCTGCCCTACCTGGGCACTGATGCGAGCCACCAGAAAGCTCTTCCTGTTGTCCAACATCGACTTCTCCAGGAGACACTCCTGAGCCTGGCCCTGGGACAAGACATGCAGGTGCATTTCTCACTCACACAGAGACCCCCCTCTCCTCCAGCCTCCCCAGGTCCGCTCCATCTCAGACCACCACAGTCAAGGCCCCTGCTTGTCCTCCCTGCCCGTCGAGGCTCGGCTCAGCCCAGGACCCAACCCTCAACCCTGTCCCTTCCCCTGGCCATCTCCTCCTCACCAGCATGAGGTTGACATTGAGAGTGAGGATCTGACGGCTCATGTCAACACTGTAGGCCTGAGGAAAGTGCTCACGCAGGTAGGCAAAGGCGCCAGCTGCACACTGGAAGTGGGTGCAGGAAACCTTCATGCCCTGGGAGGGAGAAGGGAAAGAATGGACAGGGGCAGCGCCAGACAGCTACCCATGTCACTGACCCAACAGCGTCTGAGAACACCCAGCACTCCTCCCTGCTAAGTCCACCAGTCCCTCCTCACCTCCTCAGAGAGTCGCTTGTCCATGGCCCCCAGCATGGAGTGCAGCGCCCCTGGGGAGGCAGAGGACATGGTATAAGAACACGCCTGGGCTGCTCCCACCATGCCACCTGATCTGTGCCAGGCATGTATCCATGACAGAAAAAACAGAAGTCTGGGAATTGGGGCAGGTAGTATAAAGACATCCAAGCAGGAGCAAATGAGGAAACTCAGAAGTCAGACCAAGCTCCTTCGTCTCCTACTCTGAAGTTGGCAGGAGCTGGAGGTAGAGGAAGGAGGGCTGCCCATCAGGGGTCAGAGAAAGGACATTGAAGTCAGCTTTGCACTCCCTTGGTCTGATGCAGCCCACAGTTACAGGAAGGTCCATCCTCGTGGTGGAGGTCATGGTGGCCATACGACATGGTAGCCAACCCACTAGAGCCCAATGGAGGAGCTAGAGAATCCAGGTTTCGCTCCTTTGCCAGCTTTTGTGACTGGCTGCTAACCTAAGATCCTAGGTCAGCAAGACTCTGAGGTCATGAGGAAAGGCTGAAAGGGGCCCAAAGCTCACCAAGATTGTAAAGAATGCAGGCTTGCTCATACTTGATGTCCTCATGGGCCACAGACTTGCCTGAGAAGATCTCTGTCCTGCAGACATGCCATCAGGTCAGCCAGAGCCCCAGGGGCAGACCCATTCACTCCAGTTTAGAGTCAAGGGAAGGCAAGGGAAAGAGCATCTTCAGTTCCCAGGGGCCCCCAGTCCCCAGCCCGCTGAGCCTCACCAGGTAACAGGGACAGCAGCCTCTTGGCCCAAGCCCATGGGGACTCGACTCTGCAGGTAGTGGAGCTGGCCTAGGTACTTGCGAAGGACGCTGCAGCCTTCGAAGTCCCGTGGGACACGGATGGCATTCTGGGATGGGAGAAGTTAGCCTGCATCATTTGGGGTTGAGGCCAGGCATCCCAGCCCTTCACCAGCACTGAGAAACTTGCATCAGATCTGGGAGGTGGCATGAAAACCCACTCTCTCCTGCACTCAACAGCTGTACTCTTGACAGTTCCCAGTGAGTATTCAGGTTGTTAACATACTTTACTTTTGATCCATCATTTTACATCTAAAAATTCCATCAGAGATACCAAGAAACTAAAATGCTAATATGTGTGAGCAAAGATATTTATCATGGCATTATTCACAGGGTCACCACCCTTTCAATTAACGAGGATTCTGTATGTCAGAGCTCCCCACCCAAGACAATACTGTGTAGCAGTGAAAACTGGAGACAAAGATCTCTACTTAGTGATGTGTTATGATTTCCAAGACATCCAGCTGAGCAAAAAGAGCAGGCAGGACTGGCATGGTATCATTTATGTAAAATCATAATGATATTAGTATCCACACTAGTTATATAGGCAAAAATAAAATTATCTAGAAGGCTCAGGACCAAAACATTAACTATTCTCCCGGTGCATGTGTGGGGTGGGGGGGTGTAGAGAGAGCCTAAACCCATCCCTATAAACAGAAAAAGGACAATATACCCTCCCAGGAGCAGGTCACAGTGAGGACACAGTCTCACCCAAAAGAAGGGGCCCGGATGTGTCTTCTAGGACCTAGAATCTGGAGCATGGCCCCAAGCTGTCAACCTGGGACATGTGCATGTGCCTGGTGTACTGAGTGAGACTGTAGCTCCCTTTGGGGCATCAGTCTTCCTTCACACAACAATAAGTCCCCATATGGTGGTGGTGAAGTGTCACTGAGTCGAGTCGGTTCTGACTCACAGTGATCCTGCTGGTTTCCCAGGCAGATGGTGACCTTTCGGTTAGACCAGTTACAGCACCACACTGCAGAGCTGTCACTTCAAGCAGCATGTCACAAAGGCCAAACCTCATTTTTTTCTGTTTTTAAACTTTCTATTGCCGAGTCCTGGTGTGGCGCTAAGGGTTAATACGCCAGACTGCAAAGCCGTGAACTGCAAGGTTGATGGTTCAAGCTCACCAGCTGCTCCTCACAAACCCTGTACAGGGTCATTATGGGTCAGAATTGACTCGACGGCATTTAACAAGAATAACATTGTGAACTGAGTGAAGTGGTTTACAGATAAGATCATCAGTTTTACAACTAACAAACCAGACACTTTGTTTCATCTCAATGATTGCAGTCCCCCCTCCATGCAACCAGTGGGCACTGTAGGTTAATGTGCTGGACGGCAAGGTTGGCGGTTCAAGCTCACCAGCCGCTCCACGGAAACCCTACCTACACAGTGTCTCAATGAGTCGGAACTGACTCGATGGCACTTCACAACAAGCGTGCAATAATAGTTATCCATCTTCCTCCCTGTGGTTCCTGTTTCTATTCTACCCACCTTTGCAGCACTGGCATCAGGCTTGGAGAAAGATTCATTAACAACCTACGATATGCATGTGATACAACATTGCTTGCTGAAAGTGAAAAGAATGAAAATAACTTACTGATAAAAGACCACAGCCTTCAGTATGGATTGCATCTCAATGTAAAGAAAACAAAAATCCTGCCCACTGGACCAATAAACAACATTCTTATCAATGGAGAAAAGATTGAGGTTGTCAAGGACTTCATTCTTCTTGGATCAACTATCAACACTCATGGAAACAGCAGTCAAGAAATCAGATGACGTACTGCATTAAGCAAATCTGCACAAGACCTTTCTCAAGTATTGAAGAGCAAAGATGTCAGCTTGAGGGCTAAGGTGTGCCTGACCCAAGCCATGGTATTTTCAATAACCTCATATTCATGCGAAAGCTGGACAGTGAATAACAAAGACTGTAAACTAATTGATGCATTTGAGTTACGGTGTTGGAGTCGAACATTAAAAGTACCATGGACCAACAAAAGAACAAACCAATCTCTGTTCGAAGAAGTACAGCCAGAATGCTCTTTAGAAGCCAAGATGACCAGAGTTTCTCTTTCATATTTTGGACATATACTATCAGGAGGGACCAGTTCTTGGAGGACATTATGCTTGGTAAAGTGGAGGGTCAGTGAAAAACAGGAAGACCCCCAATGAGATGGATTTGCACAGTGGCAGTAGCAATGTGCTCAAGTATAGAAACGATTCTTAGCTCTATTGTGCATAAAGTCACTATGAGTTGGTTCTGACTCAATGGTACCTAATTAAAACAATAATAACATTACAGGGAAAGGAAAGGAACCCTGGATAAGCAAAGTATTACTAAAAATGGAGGACAAAGCAGGAGGCCTCTTGCTTCCTGATATCAAAACCTAGTATATAACTACAGTAGTCAAAACAGCTTGGTACTGATACAGTGAAAAATACATAGATCAATAAAATAGAACTGAGAACCCAAAAGTAAATCCATCTTCACCTACTGTCAGTTAAAGGAGCTCTGGTAGCGTAGTGGTTACAAATTGGGCTGTTAATTGCAAGGCCAGCAGTTTGAAACTACCAGCCGCTCTGCAGGAGAAAGAGGAGGCTTTCTGCTCCCGTAAAGATTTAAGCCTCGGAAACCCTGTACAGGGTTGCCATGGTCAGAACCAACTCTAGAGCACACTACCACATCAACCATCTGTTGATCTTTGACAAAGGGTCAAAATGCATTAAATGGGGAAGAGACAGTCTTTTCAACAAATGGTGCCGCAAAATTGGAAATATAGTGGCAGAAAAATAAAACAAGGCCCATATCTCATACCATATACAAAAATGAACTCAACATGGATTGAAAACCTAAATGTAAAACCAGATTATCAATGAAAAAATAGGCACATACTTAGTAGCTCTGATATATGATATAATACGTTATCAAGCATAACCGAAGACATACAAACAGAAGACAAAATCGATGACAGGGACCTCCTAAAAATTAAGACACTTATATGCATCAAAGAATTTCACCAAAGAGTAAAGACAGAACCCACAGAGTGAGAAAAACTATTTGGCAATGGCATATCAACAAAGGAGTACTCTCCAAAACTTATACAACACTTCAACAAGACGACAAATAATCCAATTTAAAAATAGGCAGAAGACACGAACAGACACTTCACCAAAGAAGACATTCAGGCAGCCAGCAAACAAACATGAAGAAATGTTCATGATCAGTTAGCCAGTGTTGTCAAGTGTGGTCAAGTCAGTTCTGACTCACAGTGACCCTGTATAGGGTTTTAGAAGAGCTGCTGGTGGGTTTGAATCACCGACCTTGTAGTTTTGCAGTCCATTGCTTATCCTACAGTGCCATACCAGTAATCCATTAGTCATTGTTAAGTGCCACTGAGTCAGTTCCAACTCACAGCAACCCTGTACAGAGTTTCCAAAGAACGACTGGTGAGATAGAATCACTCACATGGTGGTTCAAACCAACTTTGCAGTCCAGCTACAACGCCACACCAGGACTTCCTATAAGTCACCATTGTTAAGTGCCGGTGAGTAGGCTCTGACTCATAGTAACCCTGAATAGGGTTTCTGAGGGGCAGCTGGTTGAGTTTAAACCACCGACCATGCAGTTCAAACCGATCTTGTGGTCCAGTGCTTATTCTACAGCACCACACCAGTCAATGGTTGTTGTTAAGTGCTGCTGAGTAGGTTACATCCCATAGCTAACCCTGTACAGGATTTCCAAGAAGCAGCTGATGAGCTTGAACCACTGACCTTGCGGTTCAAACTGACTTTGCAGTCCAGTGCATTAACCCACAACACCACACCAAAACTCCACACCAGTCATTAGAGATACACAATTCTATTATCTTACTCCAGCATTAGTAGCAAAGTTCCAAAAAACAGAAAACATTTAACAAATGCTGGAGAGGGTGTAGAGACTGTGGCTCTCCTACACTATTGGTGGGATTGTAAAATGGTGTGACCACTGTGGAAAATGGTATGGCACTTTCTCAAAAAGTTGGAAATAGATCATATGATCCAGCAATCCCTCTACTTGGCATACATCCTCAAGAAATAAGAGCTGTCACATGACTAACTGTATGTACTCCCAATGCTCATTACAGCACTATTCACAATAGCAAAAAGATGGAGACAACTTAAACGCCCATCAACAGAAGCATAGGTAGACAAACATTGGTACATACACACAATGGAATATTATGCACTGCGGAGTCAAAAATCTGCAAAGTACCTCACAACATGGATGAACCTGGAGGGCACTATACTGAGTCAATTACCAAAGGATAAACAATACAGGAACTGTAAAAAGTTAAGATTTTGTTGTTAAATGAAACATTCTGTGATGGTTACAAGGTGAGTGGGGAGGAGGGAAAAAAATTAAGTGAATAGAGGTAAATCCTGTTAACTGACAGTATACAGAGTAGACTGCAATCACTGTAATGGCACGAAGTATTTAATTTGTTGACTGTGGGACGGGTGATCTGTTTTGTAAACTTTCACTCAATTCACAATAAAAAAAAAGTTTTTTAAAAAATATATAACCATAGTATTACCCAAATAACTAAAAATTAAATGCCCTTTTCATCTATGAGACTGACATGAGCAAAAGGAACAGGCGCACACCATGATGTGGCCTGAAACAAACACATACACATTCATCCACTAATTCTTGCATAAACAATCCTAAATCCTTAGAGGCATGCACGTGTGTTTATGACAGCATTTTTACAATGGTGAAAAACAAATAAACCAATGTCTTCCAATAAGAAACATATTCAACTATACTATATATAATGTAGTGAGCACATTAAAATCACAGTGTTGCTTAAGTTGCAACAATATGGCAGCACAAGCAGTTGCACACTCCAGTGCCCCTATAACAAATTCAGAAGAAAAGCAGTAAAATGTGATGAAATCTGTCATTTCAGAGCATTAGCTATCAATTAAATGTTTGGAGAACCAAAACAAAGCCTGATCAAGAAAAAGGTATCACAATGACGATAGGAGAATGGAGGTTAGTCCC